AGAAATTTGTTAAATGAGTTTTGCCCCATTTTACAACTTTTCTTAACACAGTTGTTAAGTGAATCACTGCAAGTTGTTAAATTAGTAACATGGTTGTTAAGTGAATCTGGCTTCCCCATTGACTTTGCTTGTCAGAAGGTCGCAAAAGGGGGTCATGACACCCCAGGACACTGCAACTGTCATAAATATGAACCAGTTGCCAAGCAAATGTAAATCACATGACCAAGGGGCTGGTGCAAGAATCATAAGTGTGAAAAATGGTCATATGACACTTTTTTTAGTGCTGTTGTAACATTGAATGGTCACTGAGAAAACTGTTGTAGGTCAAAGAGTACCTTCAGTCTGGTGAGATTCTTGTAAATAGGCAAGCAACAATAAAGAAGCAACTCTGATCAGCTCATAGGACAGTGATGGCGAACCTTTTGTGGCTCGTGTGCCAAAAGTGAGTGGAGCCCAGGGGGGTTGTGCGTGGGAGTGCCACACCCATGCCATGCGTACGACCCCAATTTGCATGCATGCACAACCCCAGTGCGCATGCATGCATGGCCAGCACTCCCCCCCATTTTTGGTGTGCTTTTTTCATCCTCCCTAAGCTTCAGAGGGTTTATAAGAGTCTGAGGAGGGTGAAAACATCCCCCCTAGAGGCCCTCTGGAGGCTTCGGGAGCTTCCCTGAAGCCTCTGGAGCGTGAAAAACCAGCTCTATGGGCAAACCGGAAGTTCAGGAATGTACTTCCAGTTTGCTCATAGGGTCATTTTTTGCCCTCTGGAGCCTGAAGGCTCTTCTTTTGAGGCCATTTTTTGCCCTCCGGAGGCTTCAGAGCTTCCCTGAAGCCTCCGGAGGACTAAAACTGGCCCTACAAGCAAACTGGAAGTACGTTCCTGAACTTCCGTTTTGCCCATAGGGCTGGTTTTTCATGCTCCGGAGCCTTCAGGGAAGCTCCTGAAGCCTCCGGAGAGCGAAAAAATGGCCTCAAAAGAAGGGCAAAGTCAGCTGGCCAGCATGCAGGGCAACGCCTCACATGCCTGGACAAGTGGCTCCGCGTGCCATAGGTTCACCATCACGGTCATAAAATGTTTGATAGCAAACTCTTCAGGGAAGAGGCTAAATGTTCATGGTTGTACAGGTGAACAAATAGAGAAATGCATTGTAAACAAAGGTATACCAGATAGAAAATTGTATGTGCCAAGTAATAAACTCTGGAAGCAGTATTTTCTTTGGCTCCAGCTTTGGTGTTTTATGGACTCTGTGAATGTAAATGCACCTTTTCATACACAGCTACAAGCCGAATGAAAAGCACCTTTTTATAAAGCATAGATAAAAATCCACGGTAAAACAGTTCTTTTGACACTTTGATAGTTTGGATTGAGGCACCATTCTACGTTATTGGATTAACTGTCCCAACATTGTATTTAATTCTGAATCTACCTTCATACTAGGCACAGAAAAAGTGGTTTATTCAAGGTTTGCAACAATGTTCATTTCTTGCATTGCTTAATCCATAATTAACTGACAGCCCCTCACCCTTCCTTCTTATCCAATATTTATTAGCTCATGCTTCAAAAGAGATGGTATTCTCTTTCTTTACCCACCCTATCTTTTTGGGGGGGGGGCAATTTTAATATGCCACTCAAGGCTGGAGAGAATTGTGCACTTTTCCTGTAAGAATTGCAATTTCTAAAAACTAAATGAATCTGGTGATCATTCTTGCTAAAGGAAGGCTGATGTCGAGACCCAGAGAAAATGCTATGTGGCTGTTTCATGACTGGTGCACTACAAAATAAAGCACTGTGGATTTTGACCTTAAAGCTAAAGTAAAGGTATAGCTTCCCCTCTCTAGGGGATGTTGCTCATCTCCGTTTCAAAGCCGAAGAGACAGCGCTGTCCAAAGACGTCTCCGTGGTCATGTGGCCAACATGAATAAATGCCGAAGGCGCGCGGAACACTGTTACCTTCCCACCAAAGGTGGTTCCTATTTTTCCACCTTCATTTTTACATGTTTTCAAACTGCTAGATTGGCAGAAGCTGGGAGAAATAGCAGGAGCTCACTTCGTTATGTGGGGCTAGGGATGTGAACCGCCAAACTGCCGACCTTTCCAATCGACAAGCTAGAGTCTCAGCCACTGAGCCACTGCATCCCTTTTAAAGCTAAAAGATTTATTCAAATCTGACTCCTAGAGTCTTCATGGATGTATTCTTTGCAGCCGTACAGAAGTGTTTCCCATTTCCAAGACATTTCACTGCCCATTCTACTATATATCATTGAGATGTCTTCCACCCAGGGTACAGCAAGATCTGATCAGTTTAGCTCCAGGATGACAAGGTGAAATGGCTAATCTCTTGAGCACTTCAATGTCAGTTATTTAAATGCAGATTCTGGTAAAGGAACAGCTGTAAAAACTGAGTTAGCATTGGTGCAACAGCATCATTATAGTTCAATCACACATTGTGGTTAACATTATTGTTTAAAGGCATCCACTGTAGTTTCCCTAACATAGGTGACCTTTCAGATGTATGTGCTTCAGCTCTCCAAATTCCCTAACCCCCATTGCTGAGAATTCTAGGAACTGAAGTGCATGCAGCAGAAGAAGGTGGCGCCCTCAACACGATCTGTGAACTCCCTCATCTGGTGAAATTAAGAATAGTACATCCATGGATACAAAGCCTGTATGAATGGATAAAAAAAAGGCAGATGAGGTTAGCAGACATGCAGATGGTCCCACAAATTCAATTTCTGGAGGGTAGAAAAGACCTCTTGAGAACTGCTCCCCGTTGGTGATATCAATACAGAGCTGCCCACCTCACCTCTGAGAAAGAAATAAAAAACAAGCCTCTCTCGTTCCTTTTGTCCCTTCTCGTGGGAAAACAATTCGGTAGCATCGAAGCACACATTTAAAACACACCCTGTTCCTTTCTCCCAAGCGCTAAAAATAATTCCTATTTTGGAGAGACGGAAGCCAAACACAGAATCAGCCGGCTTAGCAATTGATGGCCCTGCAACGCTGCAAACTCCGCCCACTTTCCCAAGGATTATTTAGACGTTTTCCTCTCCCGGTTTAGGGAACTAAAAATAGGAAACCAGCTTGACCCATAACCCGCAGATCCAGACCAAAATAAAATAAAATAGGGGGTGGGGGAGCATCGGCTTCCTCAAGGCAGCGAGTTAACGACTGCTTCAATCCTTCCGGTCTGTGCGCACTCGCGCATGCATTTGCGTATTATTTTTTTATGGATGCTTAAACGCAGCTGGTGAGAGGAATAAACGGGTTTTTCTGACGGAGGCGAAAGGCCCGCCTTTTTCGAGTGTACGAAAGCAGGTTACGGCGAGCGCTTGTAAAATCCATTATTATGAATGAAACGCCGTGGCTGAAGGCGTCTTCCGGCGATTTTCCTCAAGGACCGTATTCTGCTTCTGCAGGAGACTCTGGGGTCACCAAAGGCACCTCTCGCCCTTCCCAAAAGAATTATACTTTAAATACGTTTTTTCCCCTTTGAGCCCGTAGCCACGCATTCAAAAAAAATATATGTTGGGGGGGCGAAGAGAGGGAGAAACCGGAGGGGGGTTTGTGGCCAAACTTGGCTCGACTGAGATCAGCGTTAGGTAACACGGCGCACCAGCGGCAAGCCGGGCTCGTGCCGAAGATGATGCCAGAGGTCCGCCGTCCAATAGAAACGCCCCGCAGTCCCGCCTCTTTTCTTCCGCGGCGCGGCTCTGCTTTACAGGCCAAAGGCACGAAACCATTCATGAGTTTTGTGACATCATCGGAGGGAGGGGGCGGGCTTTTGTGAGCCTAGACACGCCCCCCTTGTCTATAAAAATAGCTCTCAAACTCTTTGTGCTGGCCAGTTTAGTGCGAGCAAACTTGTAGCTGCGGTTGGGTGGGAGAAAGACGCTTCACCGAGCAGCTTCAACCCGAAAAAACAATATCAGTTTTTAATCTTCTGAGAGATCTCCTAGCCAGAGTTTCTCACGGGGAACCTTAGCCCGCTCGCTCTCTTTCTGTTTGTGTTGGTTTAGTTCTAGTTCGTCCCCGTCCCCCTCCTCCTCACTACTCCTGTGCTGAGCTACAAAAGGAGGTTGGCTCGACCTCTTTGTTAGGACTACATACATGTCTGTATTTTTCTCCATTCGTTGGTGAGTAACGTGGCGCTGCGGTGTGGCTGGCGAGGTGCGGGGCTCGGTGGGTGTTTTTAAGAGGTGCGAAATCGGGAGAGGTTTTTACGCCACCTTTGCGAGAAACCGCCTGGACCGAGAACTTCAAGGAATGTTGGGGGGGGCACGTTGTTGAAGGCGCGGGAGGGAGAAACAAAGGAAGGACGGGGGAGGGGAGGGGCGCCACGAACACAAGCCCGTGGGCGCGCCCCTCCAGTCCGGCGCAAAACGGGGGCAGGACGGCGCCTGCGGTCCTTGTCCCGGGTCACCCGCAAGCGGCTCCCGCTGAGCGCGCTCGGGAGCCCGAAGTCTACCCGGAAACGGCGGGTGGCGTTCCCGGGACCTCCTTAGCAGTCTCGGCACGTCCTATTGCTTCGGGTGGGGGAGGGAGAGGGGAGAGGTTGCTTCCCAAGCGCTTCTTTTATCCGTCGCTTGTCCTCCGCTTCCCCGCGCCAGGGAGAACCGGTTCAAGCGGATCTGGGCTTCCTGCAAGAAGGGTGGTGGAGGAGTGGGCTGCGGGGCGAAGGCGGCAGCTCTCCTCTCGCGAAAGGCGGTGGGGCGGTGGTGGTGTCTGGATCGAGGCTGCCTGCTTGCGATGATGTCCCGGGGAGGGGGGACTTTTTTTGTCCGCAAGTGTTGATTTCTTCCAGCTGGAGCTCCATGGAGAGAACAAAACAGCTACTTCTGGCTTAGTTTCTGTAGGAAAATAAATAAATAACCGGCACAGCAGCTGTTTCCCCCCCCCCGTGTTCCTTATTGCAACTGTTTAGCTCCTTATACATATATATATATCTGGAGCACTATCCCATCAGCGGGGAGGGGGGGGGTCAGGGTTATTAATCCGAACAAAAGAACTGGTCTGTTAGAAGAATTCTGCAAATAGCAATGAAAAGTCCCAAATATTTTCCCCCGTTTCTTTATCGGGGCTTCTCTCCCGTCTCCCCCCGCGAGGTGGGACGCGATTACGGTAAGAATCCTACCGTAATCGCAGTAGGAAGTTTGCTGCTAAACAGCTGCTTCTTTCAAGACGGTCAACAAAGGCAGGAGGCTGCAGACGTTACTCTGGAACGGGTGCTCCCACAGTTGCTGCTTTTTACTTATTTGCACTCTGCCTTTATTATTTTTACAAACGACTCAAGGCAGCAAACCTATCCAACACTACTATATTTCTCACAACAACCCTGTGAGGTTGGTTGGAGTGAGGAAGAGTGACCAGTCCAGTCAACCAGCTGGCTTTCATGGATAAGGTGGCGGCTGAATGCACAATCTTCTTACTAGCCTGCTGCCTAAGCCACTAGAATTATTCTTCCGGTTGGGAAGTAATAACTTTGATGGGGGGGGGCATGGGGAGAGAAAAATTGATTTGGTTATTTGCCTTCTGGGTGCTTCAATTAACGCAGAAGCCCCAAGCCATCATCCTGAATGTGGGCGAACATAGTGGAGAGCAAGGGGTCCTGGATAGAAGTTCAGAAACTCCTGGTTCTTCGGATTTACCCCCGAATTTGAAAATTTGGACTTTCACAAAAACGGGGGCTCCAAATCTGCCCCCAAATGTGCATTTTATAGCAGGTGCACTCAATGGGGTTAGGCTTGCACTTTAGAACTGAAGTGCAGCCTGATTTCTTTGTTGTTAAGATGAGGAGTGAGCTGCGGCAAAGTTGTATAACCTCCTCCCTGGAATGTTTTCAAGAAAGGCTGGCTTGATGTAAGTAAGGATGCTTAAAGTATTTTTGCCTTTTGGCAGAGAGCACGAGGGGGAAATAGCTCTCCCTCTCAGATATTAAGCCCTGGTGTGCATGTATTCCCATTGTCTCTGTGTGTTGCTTCTCTTGACAAATGCCATTAGAAGAATAAATACCTTTTAGCAAGCAGACAGTAAATTCTTAGCAGTTTTACCAGAATCCAGTAGTCTGAGTACAAGTGGAAAGTATGACGCAAAATATGCATCTCTTCCGAGAGAGCTAGTGCAGAAACAGTGTAAGGAAAGTGAAGTTTCCTCAGTAAAGCCTGTGAGATGAAAAGCTGAGATCTTTGGCAACTGATGTATTTTATCTTATTTGATGAATTTTCTTGTTGCTTTACATATAATTCTGTTGCCGGACACTGCAGCTTGGATGGCTCCCTGGTTAATGAACAATTATATACCTTGTTTAAAAAAAAAACCTCAAGAAACCAATGTTCTATTTAGTTGCAACATTTTTTTTGTTTTCTATTCTGATTGTCTTAAAGTCTAGCTATTTGGCTGACCTCAAATCCCTATCACAATGTTATATCCCCATTTTCTTGCAAACAAAGTCACTCAAAGGTTTAACAACCCTCCCCCCCCAAGTGTTACTGATAGCTCTAAATCATTTTCCTAAACAATTCTGGCCAACTTGTTGCCTCTTCACCAACTCTAGAGTTTAAGGGATGATGATACTTTTCTCTGAATTTGCTGTGCAGAGTTGTGGCACCCCATTAGGGAGGAGAGGGGTGAAGTAAGATGTGTATGTATGTATTCTGAGGACAAGATGCAAGTCTTGTTTTCTAAGATAGGTAAGACCAAGGGACAAAGTGAGAAAGAAAAAATCAACAGTGTTTTCAGTCTATTTAATCTGGAATATAAAACTAAGTGTTGCTTCCCTTGAATATATAGCTAAAATGCATAGGAGCATACATTGTTGTTTTTCTTTAAAATATTTATATAGCTGTCCATCTTTCAGACAACTTTAGGTGTCTCCAATAATGTTTTCTTACTTTTTTAGTCTGTCTAATCAAAATATAAAAGTGTAAGCTCCTCCCAGCAGCAGAAATCTCTTGTGATAACTTAAAAGTACAATATGCATCCTAGTATTATATATAATATGCTGTAATGATACCATTGTTACTTGTGCAAGTGATTCTTTGGGATGATCTGGCTTATTGTTTTTAAGCTAAGCAAAGCTGATGCTGGACATTCAGTATTTGCACTTAAAGTATTAATTTAGAAAAGCAGCAGGTGCTGTAAGAGCAAGCAAGGAATAAAGACCAGTCTCGTGACTGACTGGTGCAACATAACCTTCTACCCATTATGGTATAGCCACTGGTGATTGATGGGTTCACATTCTTTATATTGACATTCTTGTGTGTTATTATCTGGAGTAACTATTCTAAAAGATGCCTTTCAGTATAGAACAGCGAATGCAATACTATTGCAATATTATTCCTTTATGACAGCTTTATGCTACCACATGCATTGTTTTTATTTATATTGAAACTTAAGTGAGTGCAGGAAACTTTAAAGAAATGTAGTGCTGGGAAATTGAGGTGGAATTAGCACATGCTAAAATACAGAAGTTGCTTGAATGCATGTAAAATGTACTTTTGCTTTCAAAATAAGTTCTAATGGAAACAATGAGTATAAGGCTGAAATTGAAACCTGGGCTATAGAATGAATCAATCTGAAACCTTTGGGTGACTTAGGTGGCTTAAAATTCTTAACTCTGAAGCCTTCACAGAATCTGTAGGACAGTGTTTTTCAATCTATTCCAAAATAGGTTGAAGTAGTTTCTTTCCAAAATAACTATTTTTTAAATAAAATAAAATAATTTGCTGTCCGCCTCGCAGTTCAAAGTGACTCAGAAATAAAACTGGTTATATGCATTGAAATGGTTAAGTTTCTTAATCTGTACTAGAATTCCTTATCAATATGGAATCCCAGGTCTTATTTGCTTATCTACTATTAATTGCAACTGAATAAAAGGGTAATTGCTGAAGTTGTCTCTCTGCCTTTGTTTTCAGCCCTGATTATTTGAGATCAGCTGACATGACTGAGGTGATGAGCGCTCCAACTATGGATGAGATTGGTTTAAGCCCCCGCAAAGATGGCCTATCCTATCAGGTAAATTCACTGCCATGCAAAAAACCTTAATGCAGCTAACTAACTGCAAGTTGCTAATAGATTCAATTGGGATTATATAGTAATCTTTTTAGAAGGCTGATGAATTAGTTCTTAATATTTTAAAATTTTCAAAGCTATTTGTAATGCTTCCTTGGCAAGAGCAGTTAGAAAGGACAGAGTGTTTTGGGTTTGGAGGGATCTTGGATGGTCTTATTTACAAGTAAATGTAAACTTAACCATTTGAAGAAAAAGTTTTATTGAGTCTAGCAGATAAATTCACAAAGGACAAGATCTGCTTCTTATAAGATATAAATGGTACTAAACGTTATAGCTATGTCTCAATACTGGCTATTTAGGTTCATTCAGACTATGGGTATTGGGCTTAATCTGGATATATGTGGCAGTATTGCAATTTCCATTATGGACTAGATATCCTGTTGGATCTGTTGTGTGTTCTGTTGGATCTAGATACGTTTAGCAAGAACATCTAATTGTGCTATTTTTTATATTGCCTCCTAGAACTTGGAATAAATTTGACATTGATTAAGCCTCCCTTCCTTTAGTAGCATACTTTAGTTTAAGAGCAGTGGTTAGAATGTGGTATTGCAGGCTAGCTCTTAGCCAGGAGTTCGATTCTCACTGGCTCAAGGTTGACCCAGCCTTTCATCCTTCCAAAGTTGATAAAATGAGGACCTAGATTATTTTGGGCAATGCAATGACTCTGTAAACTGCTTAGAGAGGGCTATAAAGCACTATGAAGTATTATTAAGCTAATGTATAGCCTTACAGCATTTCTTTCTACCCTGGTTTTGATGACTTTTAGTTGTTCTTAACAAATTCTTGGTTGGATGTAATGATTGGTTACTTTGGATGTTGCCTTATTAGTCTTTGCAAGCCTGAAATGAAAGTGAAAAGCATATAAATGGTATAAATTACAGGCATGAATAAATGTTGTTCCATTCAGCTCCAATTTGTGGATAACCAATCACCGGTGATCTGTCTGATCACTATAGAGACAGAATAACCAGCTGTATAGGGCTTTGATCTGATTGAATACTACTGGAGTTTTTTCAACATATTTCTGAATAAATACAGTTAGTCCTTGACTTACAACAGCTCATTTAGTGACTGTTCAAAATTAAATGGCGCAGAAAAGATTTTTTCACACTTACGACCATTGCAGCATCCCAATGGCCACATGATTAAAATTCAATTGCTTGGCAACTGGTTCGTATTTATGATGGCTGCAGTTTCCTAGGGTCATGTGATCAGCTTTTGCAACCTTCTGATGAGCAAAATCAGTAGGAAATCCAGAATCACTTAACAGCCACATTATTAACAAATGCAAAGATTCACTTAAAACATTGGCAAGAAAAGTCATAAAATGAGGCAAACTCATTTAACAAATATTAAGTGGGCTCAATTGTGGTCATACCCTGAGGACTATGTGTGGGTTGTACTGTATAAAGTGGCAATTTGATTTTGTAAAGCAATAGCAGGTTTTGCTGAAGCATTTTCTAATCCCATTAGGATTTTCCCCCTCAGCGGCTCTTAACTCTGCTCTGTCTTTTGAATGGAAGGTGTGTAGGTCACTTCCGACTTATCTTTCACATTCAATTATCTCAGAAAATAAAATTTCCTTTAGATGAATGGTAGTGCAAGGAATCTTTGTTACTTCAGACTAATTTTAACAATGTTTTTTTAGCTTGATTTTGGAATGAATCCCAGTGGAAAAATACAGTTAGAAAACATTGCATCAGAACTGAAAAAAGCCACATGAATTTCCAGTGTAAGGCTCAAGGGTCTTAACTATTTTGAGACTGGCCTGAATTAGAATAAGTAAACTTTGAATTTCAGATAACTTTGGCCAGCTGGATTGAGTTCAATATGTTTAGACTACCAATACAACTTCTACTGAGTGAAGCAGAAGCACTGTTAAATCAATGGCCTTAAGCACATTGCTTTTTGCTTATTTCTGCCCACAAAGACTTGGCAGTGTTTGGACTTGGGATTATTTTATGACTATATTTTGGCTCATAAATCATTCAAACTGCCAGCAATTCAGATTTTAAAGTGTTTTTGAAGAATGTTTTCTTAATCTCTATCTCACAGAACAAAAACAATTCTAAGGTTATGCTAGATGGCATAGGCTCTTATCTTATAAATATACTAGAATTTATGTAGTTTGAACTTGGTTTGTGGCCATTAACTTCAATAACTCATCAAACCAGAAGCTAGAATTCAGTGAACCCCTGAAACTCATTTGTTGTATTAGCAAAAATCGCCATTTAGAATAACTAGAACTGTTTTGACCTCATCCTCATGTGCTATGCCTGTACCAGTGGTGGGTTCTGGATCTCGTTGCAACCAGTACACTGCAATGGGGCCCAGTGTCCACCATGTGAACATGCACAGCACGCATGCATACTTACCGCCCGTGATGTGCCAGCTGCTCGGCGGACCATCACGCAGGCGTTGTATGCTCCGTGTATGTGTGTGCAAAAGCCCCAGCCGGCTCGAATAGTGGTAAGGGAGCGGGCGGGCGGGCGGGCCCTCCGGAACACTGTACCAGAATGGTACCTGGTGCTCCCAGCAGGCACTGGTACCCCTGTACCGGGGTGTACCGGTTGTATCCCACCACTGGCCTGTACTCTTCGTTCAAATCATTGAAGGGTGCTACAATGTCTAAATGATTATCTAAACTCCTACAGTATGGATTCATTGGCTGCCTATATATTTGCAAGACAAAATCATTGGATGCTAGTATTCTTTAGAGAAATACTGTCTACACATTGTTTTTTCTATGTTCTAAATCAGAGGCGCCCAACCTTTTGGGCACCAAGCATCGGTTCCATGGAGGTTTTTGCAGGCCAGAGTGGGTGTGGTTTTGCATGCTGCCTGTATCCCACGGATGGGACTTTTTTTTTGTTTCTGCAGCCCAGTTACTGGAATGCCGCAGACTAGTGCCTGTCCACAAACTGGGGGTTGGGGACCCCTGTTCTAAATTGAAATATTGCCTGCATTTTAACTCTTATCTGATTAAATAATAGGGGGAAATTACATTTAAAAACTTTTAAGTTAAATCGAAAAGTTTGCTAACCACTGAAAAGAAACCTGAAGATCCAGATTTTTTT